GGCACGTTATCGACCACATTTTTAGTGCTCGCGCTTCCGTAAACGATTTTGCTTTGTTTAATTGAAGCTGACTTTTGCGAGTAGATCGCATCTCAATTTGACCTTTCCAGGCTCTGAAGAAGGCGAAACCGCCGAAACGTCAGCAATTGTGTTCTAATAAATTCTATATTAACAACCTCGTGTCTGCTTATTGATGAAAAACATTAAATTATCAAGATGTCACCATTCTACAACGATATTAACATTGAAGAGGAGTTAGGTAAGGCGATAACGTCGCGCCAAAATTATTCACCGCCACCCTCCAGAACGTCATGCGAACACTGGAACGGGATAACATTGGAGTGGAAATCGATCGTCGGCGGTTACATCATCTTCGTTTTGCTGATGACATCGTCTTTATAACACCAAACATTAGCCAAGCGGAACGTATGCTTGCCGGCTTTGTTAAAGCTTGTGGAAAGATAAGTCTCCGACTAAATCTCATAAAAACGATGTTCATGAAGAACGGTTTGGTTTCGTGACCCCCATTCACGCTCAACGGAGTGAATATCTCGGAATGCTCCATTTATGTCTATCTAGGTCGGAAAATCAATATGATGAACGACTTAGGTCCAGAGCTGAGCAGAAGGAAACGAGCGGCCTGGAGAGCATCGGTGATGTAGTGAAGAGAACAAGGAACACTGGACTCCGTTCCCACCTTTTTGACTCAACGATACTTCCTGCTCCAACGTATGCGTCAGAAACCTGGTCGATGCGTAAACAGGATGAAAAATCTCTTAGCGTTATTGAACGCGCAGTCGAAAGGACTATGCTAGAAGTATCCCGTGTCACGCAAGGGAAGGGATCCGAAGCTCCGACCTGTGTCAACGATCAAAAATCAATGATGCCGTTCTGTACGTCAAACCGTCGAAGATAAGATGGGCCGGACATGTAATGCGTATAAATGACAACCAATGGACAAGAGCCGTTAGTGACTGGATTCCTCGGGATGTCAAACGTACTGCAAGAAGACCACCGACCCGATGGTCAGAGTTCTTCACAAAGAGCCTTGAAGAAGGATATAATGCTCGACGAGTCCTTAGAGCCAGCAAAACCCACTGGGCTACTCTTGCGCGCGACAAGGAAAAATGGAAGATTTACTGGCGCCCGCTCGAGTCACTCGACGATCAACGGTACTACAGGTGATATAGGTGATACAGGTGATCTCACTGTGTAAACCCAAGTAGTTTTGTTGCGAGCTTACGTAGCGCGTCATGAGGTGACGGATGTGAGATCAAACGCAAAACAAAAGCGACCGCCTTATAATTCTCCTCTGATACGATGGAACATTCACGAGGTGGCATGCCGGATTTTCTGCATAGTGGCTGCATTTATGTTCCACTTATGCATTAGAGAAGTCTGTTTAAACAGAAACCCAACTACAGTTCCGAGTTTTGCTCATATTTCACCATCCTTATGGTTGTACTGTAGATTTTACCCTGCCGTGAAAAATGAGCAAGCAGTGAATAAAAACTGAGACATTGTGATATTCGCTAGTTATTGGGATCATTACGCTTCCGTTTTAACATTAAGCAATTTGCTATTAAAGCAGTGAGCACATTGAAATGGACATATTCTCGCGCTGTTTAGAGATCTGAAACTGGACAACATCCTTCTGGATGCGGAGGGCCACTGTCGTCTGGCCGATTTTGGAATGTGCAAGGAAGGTATCACGAAGGACAAGTTGACCAGCACGTTTTGCGGTTAGTCAAGAATTAGTCGCTACCTAATATTGATACGCCCATTATTTTCTTAATTAGTAATTATTCTACTTTCTTTTACTACATACCGGATTTAAGTGGAATTATTTTTTAACACTTCTTTATTTCTGTACTTTTTCGTTTTTATATCTTTTTTTAAAGAAATTTGCGATGAAACTGGTTTTGCAACTTCTTTGAAGCTTTCTTTTCGGTAGTGGAGAAGTTGAAAATTTTAGTCACTTGGGGAACACCATGATATGTTTCTGGATGAAATCTCGCTTGTTCTGTTATTTCCATATTGGAAGTAGGAACCTTGACGAGAAGGAAGTGACAAAAGCGGGCTATAAAAAAACGAAATTTTCCCGTCGTAGAGCAAGGAACCTTTTATCTTATAGCGAAAGTCTGTAGATTCCTTCTGCTTTATAAAATGTCGTTCACCATGAGCTAAGATATGTTGTTTCAATTTGAGAGCGACTATGATTTTTGGATCGCATGACTTCATGTGAGGTCATATGGTGTCGAATCTGTTAAGCATTCATCTATCAATGTCCACTTTATGTTCACCCTAAGATTTCGCTTTCTGTTAGTTGGTAATTATGAGTAGTAGAATATGCAGTTTAAGCACAAAGTGGTATAATCTTACTTTTTTATGTGGTGAGGGAGTAACTAAGTCGTCTCGATTCTGTGCAAAAAACTTGGCCCATATAATTTCTGCTTTTTTGCTGACTGATTCTTTAGAAATAAAATTGAATTTGTTCTAATGTAGTAAAATATTAGAGCGAATCATGACTTTACTTAAAACTTTATTTACAATTTCTTTCTATAATGTACTTATTATTGGTCCATTACCATTTTTTTCTTATTCATCATATATTGAACCTTTAACTAGGAACAGAATAGGAAGAACTGCTGTAGGTCTCTAACAACATAGCGAAGATGGAGACGAAGGTGTTAAACAGTTCGGACTAAACTATTTAATGAGATGTTCTTTTTATAGGCACACCTGATTACATAGCTCCAGAAATTCTCCAGGAGTTGGAATACGGTGTATCGGTGGACTGGTGGGCACTCGGAGTGTTGATGTACGAAATGATGGCCGGGCAGCCGCCTTTCGAAGCGGACAACGAGGACGATCTGTTTGAGGTTCGCAGTCACTTGGTATTGTTCAGAATTCCTCAAGATCGAGCCTCTCTGTATTATTATTGGCTGAAGGTATGAAACATTCAGTATATCATGGTGTGGTATAGGTTGAAGTACTAAATACTTTTATATAACTAAATATTGCAGCTTTTATCAAGCTGATTTTAATAAAAATTATTTTCGTGCGGATTAAATAGTGTACATCATAGTGTTATATGAACGGCCTCTCTTTTTCGAGTACTGTGAGCAGTACCTTTTATTTTGCAACTTAACGCTTCCTTTTCTAGATATAATTAAACATCATCGGTATAATTTTCGGTTCGGAGGGATTTAGAGTCCATAAAAGCCATGAAAGGTCTAAGTACTGCTATTTCTTAAATCTGTATTCACCTTTTATCATTAATTACCAATTATTTTTTTATTTTTTTTACATTACCCATCTTCATACCCACTTTGTAGATCCCAGCACTTCTTACTTCCATTCGTTTCCACGCACCCATCATTGATGAGGGTTTTCGAAAATTTCGTGTGTAGATTGGGCTTCTGCTTTGGATTGTCGTCTGTCTTATTAGTGTCGGTGAATTCTGGTCGGATCGACTCTCCCTAGAGATTTGTGATAACCGGATTGTATCGGCCCGACTTATATTGCAAAGACTAAACTGTTCCCAGGCAAGTGTAGTACCTATTTCCCTACTGCGCAGTGATAAGAAGCTTGGTGAACTTGGGTGGGGGTTGAACCAGAACGAAGATCATTCTGCCACCCGCTCCTTATTGCTATTTACAAAATTTCTGAACTGTCTCTTCTGTTCTTAGCGCCTTATCCATGTAGTGTCTTAGTATTTCTACCTCTGAACAATCTCCCCTGAACTGAACGGTCAACGTTTTGTGGTTTTCTGGTTCTTTCACTCTTTCTGTACTGTACCAATGTTGCTCAACGCTACAATATTTAGGCGATTCTCAACGATGATGTGCTGTACCCAGTTTGGTTGTCGAAAGAAGCGGTGAACATTTTGAAGGCGGTTAGTTCTTCTTTGTTCGTGTTCGAGTCGATTACCTTTTTTTTCTGGAATAGAATAGTTAAGAGTTTTTAATATTTCTAACATCTAAACAACCTGGCCAGTAGTTTACTCCTGCCGATATTCCTGATATATCGTTTTGGCTTAAAATATAGTTTATATTCCAATAGTCTTTTTCTAGAAAAGACTTCCTTTTAGGAGGGATTTCTCCCAAAGGCTGAGGGTGTGTACAACTTTTACCGAATATTCTTTCAGTTTTGGATTTGTCATCAAACGAAGTTTTTAAAACGTTTAGGGTAAAATCTAAATTCGTAAAATGATTAACGAAAGGGTACCATCTGCCAGTACAAGTTACACGTGGAAACGCCATGATATCCTGCTTAACAGCATCCCACGTGTTCAGTTCCACTCCTATTCGAAATGCGAACCTGAACGAGAAAAGCCAAAGGGGAGCACTTCGTGGACTCCAGCAAATCAAAGTTTCATTTCAGTGTGTTAAGAGAACTTCTTTTTTCAGTGCAGGAATCTCTGTACTCTAGTGGTTTTTAGTGTGGATAATAAAACCCAATATGAGACGAAATTATAAAAAAAGGATAAAGTTCACGGCGTTAATCCATCGCTGAGAGATGCTCCGTGCATTCGACTTCATTAAGCGTCGTTGGAGGTGACAGAATGCTCACCTGGTCTACAGGAGGAGTTATAGTTACCCATTGATGTATCAGTTCAGTACTGCTGTTCAGCTGGAGAAATCGGGGACCAATCTGTCAACCGCGGAAAGATGGAAGGGTTGGTTAGCCTTAGGAGCAGGGTCGAATCTGTAGTGTTCGGTGGCTGTAACCCTTGCGCCACACAAGTCCCCCACCACTGAGATATGTCGAATTAAGCTGAATGTGGTAACTGTTTTATTACCGTGCGCATTGAAAGCAGTGCACACCGTCGGAAATGTGTAAGTCCCTCATATTGTGAAGAGCATTAAGTCCACTTGCTTTCCAACTTGGCCATTTTTATTTCAATTTCGGTTTTTTCTAGTATTTTTGCGATCATTCTGACTTTGGAAACACGGTTATTTAGAAGGGGTACTATCCACTCCTGTAAACACTTTTGTCATTTGTCTCCACATAATGTCAACTAACATTTTCTTTCTCAACAAACATTGTAAACGCTACCAGTATTAATTAGATAATGCCATAGATGTACAATCCATCCAAGCAATAGAGTTTTCATACGGCTCGACAGTAAGATAGAATTTTTCTGAGAAAATCTTCAGCAGTGAAGACACTATCGAGAACATTTTCGAGAAATTGTTGAGTTTATTTTCCGTGATGAAATCAAGAAATTCATATCTTCTTGACAAAGATTTGCGAGATCTAGTACTAATTTTTTTCGGTAGTGAAGTTAGCTATGAGCTGATATGTATTGAACTTTATGGTCAGAATTGAAATGCGCCATTATTTTTTGAATGGTCTAATACTCCGTGACGTGTATTCGAAAGAAGAGTATCGCAGACAAGTGAAAGGTATTTCGTAATGCGCTAAACAGTTGCTTTATGAGTCTAATTTACGAACTCTTCTGAGGATTGTTTCATCACCCAAGGTTAAGGTCTAGTTCTACAAATTGGGCAAGATGGATTCCAATCGTACTCTATGGGCCATATCTGAACCGTTTGTTGTAGCCATAGAACCCTGATAAAATGTCGGCTACTCCTTACTCCAACTTTCATGACTTTGGAAAAAGTTGATATTGCTGAGACCAACCATCAATATCCGTTTCCTGATAATTACCGTCGTCACTCCACCATAGCAGCCATTTTATGGAAGTTGTTTATAATAATCTACATTTAACTTTTTCTATTTTGCATATTTTACTTTTGTGAACACTTATGTACGAAATTTTGCAGTTCATGACGAAAAATCCATCTAAACGATTGGGTTGTGTGCAGTCACAAGGCGGTGAGGATGCAATTCGCGCGCATCCGTTTTTCCGTGAAATCGACTGGGACGCGCTTGAGGCGCTTCGTGTGAAACCTCCATTCAAACCAAAAATTGTGGGTGTCTTTCTGTTCTATACTTAGCCATCTATAGCGTAGTAACTTCATAAAGCTGTTTAAATACCCACAATCATGCTGAGACATTTGTAAAACTCCGGACCGCAGGTGTTTGCGGTGGGCATCGAACCCGCTATTACCCTTTTCAAGGCTAATTCGTTCACCGCCATACCCTGCGGGTCATTCGTTCCGCTTTCCATTCAACCTTGTTTTAACCTATAAGTGTTTCCCATTGTTTTTATGGCAAGGCAGTAAATAAAGAAGTGACTATGTTTTGATTTATACTACAGGTTCAGCTTAACTGGGTTCATTGCCGATGTGTACTCTCCAGATCACTCCCGTTTACGGGTGATTGTTGATTGCAGCTATAAAACGGCTGAGAGAAAGGCTAAGCGAAGGAGCCGCATGGTGTGGTGGTAAACGCGTTAGCCCTGGAAAGGGTAATAGCGTGTTCGATCCCCACCGCAAACACCTGCGATCCAGAGTTATGCAAGTATATGTCACTATCATTGTGGGCATATTTCACATCATATCCTGCCATAAAAAGAATAGGCAGTAAATAAAAAATGGACTTCGCTGTTTATATACTTACCTAAATATTTCACTGGTTATGCGTGCCCAACATAATTTCCATCCCGGATACCTGGTGGTTTAGCCATTGTGGTCTCCTAGAGTCCCGAGGTTAGCCTAACCGAACCTTTCCCAGATCGTCACCACCACAGGCAGTCGCCGCCCTGGTGGATCAAGCAGGGATTTCCCAGCACGCGATTGGCCTGATATTAAGACGGCCGCGATTCCTGGTATTTGTTTACTCTTAGGTAGACTTCCGGATGGAAACGTCGGACTAATTCTCAGTTTGGGTGGCTCTGTTGGAGGATGAACCCTCCGCTGCACATTGCTGCCCGACACCCATGAACACCTCCAAGCCATGATGAGGCAGTGAACCTGTGGGAGGAAGCTTTTTATATACATATGTTGTTTAACATAAGATTGTTTTTGTTCTCTAAGATCCCTTTCAGAAATCGAAACGTGATGCAAACAACTTCGATGCGGATTTCACAAAGGAAGAGCCAGTACTGACGCCAACAGATCCGGCGGTGATTCGTTCAATAAATCAGGAAGAATTTCGCGGGTTCACTTTTGTGAATCCGCACTTTGTATACTAAAAACGTTCTCAGAAATCCTTTGATCAGCTTATCGTGCTTTGTCGACATTTGATCGGTAACTGGTCGTGCAGCTTTTCGCCGTGGATCCGTAGGTGATTCATTTCGACGCACTTCCCATCAGCACATACACAGTAATGCAGAATCTCCTGTCCGCTACCTGATAAGGCCAAATCAATTGACCTGATAAGATCTGTATTCGTTTTCGTTCTTACTCGAGTATTTCCGTTTATACTACTTGCCTCATACGTGCGTGTGCAATCTTCTGATGTTATGTATTGATTAGCATATTTCATATGCGCGCCTTATTGGCCATGACCACGCCCAATCAATATTTTCGTCTTTTTAGTAGATGTATATTCAGTATGTTTTCTAGAGAGTATTATTCGTTTTCGTGCTAGTCATTTTTCTTTCTCTTTCGTCTTTATCGTAGATTTCTGCGTGATGTCTATGTGCTAGTCAAAGCTGATGTCCAATAGTACATTCCTGTTCACTGCATAATATGATGGTTTCTCAACATTCTTTGTTTTCAGTGACGGCCTCGTTTACTTGAATAATTTTTTATGACCGTAGCTAGAAGCTTCTTGCTAATCTCGTCATTCATGTCTTTACATCTTCATGAGCGATATGCTCAGATTTGCAAAGTGTCACAAAGCAGAGCTCGCGCTAAACATTGCGCTATTTCCGGAGTTTTAGATCCTTCAGCATCTCGCACAGAAATCAGAATGAAAACTGGGACAGTGCGGTTCTTTTGTTAAGTTTTCGTTTAGTCAGCGGTATGATCATCGCCGTTGACGTGTAAAAAGTGCGCCACACACGATGTCGCGTGCGGCTTTTTTTGTGACAGATCGCAGTTGCTTAAGGTGTTAGCGTACGATTGACTATAAACGAGCTCCTAGTGATACGTAGACGTCGTTGTATAAGCACTGTTGTGTTTGTACTTCACTAATAGTCTCTTGCCACCACTATGTCTCGGTTCTTTCCATCTCATTTTGAACTGTTGACGAGCTCTAGTCAATTTTTTTTATTCATATCAGATGCCGTAGTTGTCTTCCCGATTAAACTCCAACCAAATTATCGACAATCGTTCCATCTTTCTTCTATATTTGGCTGCCATACAATGGCATCTGTTCATCTTATGATTGTGATAGTCGCTCTGGCGACTCAACCCTCTATCATCCCCTATTGGTTTGAATGTCAAACCTTATCTTTACTTTGTATGAAATTACGCCAGCAAATTAAAGTTATATTACTATAGTATTTATGTACATATTTTGACACCTATGGAAAATTAGCAAGCCTGCAAATACGCGCATCTTTTGGAATTAGGATGCGAGAAGATCGGGTGATGGGAAAAAGTGGTTACATCAAGTTCGTATTGGTCATTACACTACTACAATCGAAAATAGGATAGGAACAGTAGTAAGTTCTAGAGCTAAATTTCTAAGACTAAATCCGGGAATTGTAATTCTTTGAAGAAAGCTCTCGGCATTGATCAATCCATGAGGGACGTGCCATGCATTCGACTTCATTAAGCATCGTTGGAATTGATTGAATATCTGGCCATTATGATTCGTGGTGGCTTATCGATGTATCGAGCTGGTGCTGCTATCCTCCCAAAAGAGTCTGGTACCTACTTGCCTACCGCGGAAGGACGGAGGGCTTCGTTAGCGTTGGGCGCGGAGATCAATCTCGTATGTATTGCAGTGCGCCTCCGATCACTGCGCTACATGCGGCTCTTGTAATTTTTTACCTTTGATAAAGGTATGAAAATCGTGTTTTTGGAAATCGAAACACGAGAAATATCACGAAAGAAATGTTGAAAAGAAAGTTAGACTATCGCTGTTATTTCTACGTGCCAATAACCGTGTATTTCTTGGCGTTTGTCGATATTTTGGATCTTGTTGCTGACAATTTTATCTCAAAAATTTATTTATTGCTATGACCCGCCTTCACATATTCCGGGAATCGCACAATGTGTTTCATTCGGTCCATTGTGTTACTACCATTCTCGCGTTTGCTTGTTAATTCGGCTAATACTTGAGAATTTTGTTTTCTCTATGAGCATCGTAAGATTCTGTTTCACTTTGTGCTCCCTAGAATCCTGGGATGACTGCTAATGCGAGCTCATGCTCTTAATACATGCGATCGTCGGCTTTCATAGAATCGGAGGTAGGTTTACCCAAAGAAATCTGGTACGTTTGTCAACGTCGGAGGTATGAGGACTTGGCCTAAACGCGGTTGAACCAATGTGTATAATGCATGTATTGCACGGTATCTCTAATCGTTGAGCTTATCGCTCCATTTTAACAGCTACCACTTTTGAAAGCTTTTTAAATTTGAATTGAACTTTGAAGGTTAAAAGTAGTAAAAATAACCTGGGTTCTCTGTTGTCCGGTTGCCAAACACTTTGGGAGAGAAACACACTGTTTCAATGACCGTTTTGCTAGCGGAATTACCACACGCAAAGACGCCTAATTCTTCGCTTCCATCGAAAAATTCGTCCAAAGAAGGGTTTTTGAAAATCGTTAATTATAGAGAGTAGCTTTTTATTAACCACGCATGGCACAACATCTGCACTGGATGGGCTTTCATGGTAGGATAAGTTGGATTGATCACAAAAAAGTATAGTAGACAAATTCCTTGCGGCTGGTTGACCAACAGAAACGAAGGCGCATTGATATCAATGCATGCTGTTGCTTTTTTGTTAGACACACTAGAAACGTATGCTTCTGCACATATGATAGGGAACATGTCATTTATGATGGCAAGTCAGTTCTCTTCATGGATCATATTTTGTAACAGTTTTTTTATTTAACTAAGAAAACTCCAAGTTAACTTGTTCGCAGAACTACCACCTAGAATGGTATCAGATAACAAAAAACTTCTTCATGAACAATCGAGGACCTACAAAATAGCGAATTCAAAATTGAAAATGCAATTCTTCCGCAAAGTTGATGAGGTCATGTGAGTACAACGCTTGAGAAAACACGGTAGCACATGGTGATTTTGAATCCAGGATAAATTATAATCCATAGAAAAAAAAAGTCGATAGAGATTTCCGTTGTTATTACTCAACAGTTATATTTACATATAAACATAATAGTCATATAATATTCAATTTAAACGGCAGTGATACCACATCGATTTGAGCACGAATCTCGGACAGCCTAAAGAACAAACCACGGAACTCGATAAAACGTTAAAGACACCAGTTTGAAACCAAACCGAATACTGCGAAACTAACCGTAATTCCCACTGAGTTGCACTCTTCTTCTGTGTTGTTACCCTTGTTAAACGGCACTTTGACGACACCAAAGACGGTGTTCTTCCACGTTATTCGATGAGGACGAGGTGATTGTACTGCTGAAACGTCGACAACAATTCCAGGAGTCCACTGGAGAATGGACAAGACAAAGGATAAGACATTCGGTGTTGAGCAATCCCTTAGTGATGCAATATGAATCCCGCTCCATTCGCAGCATCATTATCTAATGCATATTTGGTATCTACAGTTGCTGGCACCAGCTTACTGATGTAAACTTAGTGTTACGGTACTATGAAACAGTTCTGGTACTAATTCGATGAACTAGAACGAAAGCAGACTACGATGGATCGAACCGAAAACCATGTGTACTATAGGGTAACTCTAACCATAGCACTGCACGTTTCCATGTGAGGAAAAGAACAAATCGAATAGGCTGTTGTTCGATTCTGACGGGGATCGTACTAATCAATATGTATTCTTTCTTTGATGAGCTTACACGAGGTTGATAATGATATTTATTTATTTTCGGCTAACGTTTCGACGTCTTCGTCTTCCTCAGAGCCGATGATCCGAGTCGATGGTCCACGCTTGTTATTCGTCTCGACGTGGCAGCTTCGCCTTCGTGTCGAGTCAGGTGCTGATGGTGGATATAATGATAATGTGTATAAAAGAGCATCACTGAGTAAGGATGCCTCATTCGAGGAGATGGCTCACTGAAGAAGACCAGTCAGGTGCTGATGGTGGATATAATGATAATGTGTATAAAAGAGCATCACTGAGTAAGGATGCCTCATTCGAGGAGATGGCTCACTGAAGAAGACCTGACTCGACACGAAGGCGAAGCTGCCACGTCGAGGCGAATAACAAGCGTGGACCATCGACTCGGATCATCGGCTCTGAGGAAGACGAAGACATTGAAACGTTAGCCGAAAATAAACATCATTATCAACCTCGTGTAAGCTCATCAAAGAAAGAATACATATAGAAAAAAACTATTGATTGTATTGGAAGCTTTTCTCTTATCTGTGCTGGTAAAGCCGCTCCCATTTTTCAGCTACACAAAGCTTCCAAGAAATATTAACACTTTCTTCTTGAGTCATATATGACACACCGAGGGAATCGCTATCACATAGAATACCTGTAAATAACTACGTTTACCTAGAAGCATATCCTAGGCATGAATATGTCTGTCGTTGCTTGACCCATAGAAGAGGTGAATTCTGTGCCGCAGAGACAAGGCGATCACCTCCAGAATTTCCCTAAGCGCAACTGTATGATCGCCATTGGTCCATGCCTTTAACCCCGACACATCAAAGAACGTTCCACATAATTTGGTGACTAACAGACGTGAATCACGTAAAGTTGAATCCTTATAACATTCTCATTATACAAAGTGACGGCTATTCTCGCTTGTGAAATTAGTCGCAGTCTGACTAAATCATTTTGCAATTTGTTTTGTTGCCGTTGAAATTGCTTCCTGATGTTGGCATAAAGATTCTCCTTCTATTTTAAATCCAATTTTCTACCCTTACCTCATTTCCGTTGATCGCTTAATTCGAGACCGATCCCTAAAGTTTCGTAGTTCGGAGATCACTTTTTACTCCGCAAGGTGTTCGTCACGCCAACACTTCCTATCTTTGTTATGACAATGTTATTTTTTTAACTTGACGTTAACGTGCTTCTCAAAGATAATCAAGTAGCCGTTCTCAAGAGAATTTCATGGACGGAACTTTAG